GATATTAGTCTTATTTTTTAAATATCCTTTTATTTCTATCATGGAAACTGAACAAATCTCATATAGACTATGAAAACCCAAAACAAAAGTGACAACAAGCAATAGATTTTCATTGCTTATGTTGTCATCAGAAAAATCTTTTCATACTCCAGGATCAACTATTTTGAGATAGATGACAATAGGAAGAAAAATATTGTTCTCATCTTTAAAATATTAATATATGTGAATAAGATTTTCTACTAACCTCTTAATTCACTCAAAATTAAGTTTAGATGATTAGCTTGAGCGAATAATATATTGTTGCTTTGTATGATCAAATGGTTAGCAGGGAGGTTCACTCTTAAATGAATTAGATAACGCCATGCTAATGATGTACGAGAATAAAGATAAACTTTGAATTTAATTATATTTGCCTAACACAATCATTTAAACTAAACTCTATGTCAACTAAGTGTTCAGTAGAAAAACTTTAACTTAATATTAATCGTAAAGTGATTCGTTAACATTTAATAGTAGAAAATGAAATGATGAGTGCTGACCGTCTATGTTCGAAATTAAGGTTTAAAAAGCGAATCTTAATTTAATTTCAAGTTTAGGTGAATGCTTGATCTGTACAACAGAAAATATGGATCTTCAACAGATTCAGTTTCGTCTGCATATAGATTTCTTACTCGCACTTTGATGAAGTCTTTGTTTTGTTGCTTCGTACGAAAGACACGTTGAGAGAAGTGACGATGTTGTGCAAACAAAAGATAAAGCAATATCAAAAAAGGATCCTACTTTTTTTTATTTCCGAAACAAAACGAAGTAGAAGAGAAAAGACAAAAAAGAACTGTTCGTTTTGGATGCAACAAATACTAAAATGGTTGCCTCTCGGAAGTAGAATTCTACGACAACTGATTCACTGAAATTGAAAGCATTACGTAAGGGTGTCGATGCAACACAGCAACTATGATGACGGTAGAACTCATGATATGATATAAACGATATGAGTAATAGGAAGATATTTTTCATATCCCTCTGTGAAAACAAACACTTATGTGATATGCAATACAAAAAACTTCAAGTGTATACTATTTTATTTGGTAGTCTGTAATCAAAAGAATAACAGCCAAGAAAATTTTCGAACGAAAATCGATTACGATGTGAGTGTTACTAAAAAATAGAGACAATCACATCCATTTCATCTTGAAGAAATGTATTGATAATGTACCTTTTTTCATTCTCACGACTACTCATTGTTTTGGCGATCGTCCATTGAAGAGAAGAGTAGTGCCTTATTCGTTTTGATATCGTCGAAAGTCTTTAAGAACTATTTTTTATTCGTAACATGATAAGGAAAATAATCAACGACATAATGGCAGGATCGCAGCATCTTATAACAAGTACAGACTCACTCGTAAACAAATTAATTATAGAAGAGAGTCAGTAATTTCAAAAAGAAGAAATATCTTTCCCTTCTTCTCTTCTTCTTCTCGCCTTGAATTTGCCTTCCACAATCCTATAGAATAGGCTTTTGTCTTGCTCTCTCTCTGTCTACCTCTTCTAATTTTCTTTATTTTTTTTCGTTTTGGGCGTGGGTGTGGGGTAGGGTGTGCGTGTGCGTGAGAAAGCATAAAACATTCACCCTCGCAACCACACACCCACACTCCACACCCACACCCACACCCTTTTGGTCGAAAACGTTGTTCAATCGATTTAAAAATGAGATGTTTCTAACCAACCATTCATGCTCTATTGAATGATAGAAATGAACAAAAAAGCCAAAATGTACTCCCATTTTGCATTATGTGCAGCTTACCAAGTCATGAATAAAACGAGTTGGACGAAAAACTGTAAAAACACCAGTTCCCAGCAACAATCACGATCGTCAAGATTCGCTATCTCAACACCATACATCTAAGAAAGTGAATGACTGCAGGTTATTAACCTACTCACAAACGTTATCGTTTGAATAATTGACTGGACCCAAAGCAAATGATCATCTCTGGAGGTTCACTCGTAAATGTACATTGAGACGGTAGAGCGGGAAAACGTTGTAACGTTTTCTTTCAACGCATTACAAATATTTCAATTTGACCGAATTTTCGCGTTTAGAGGCGTTATAGTGAAGAACGTGATAGGTAGGAAACGCCTAATAATGGATTGTTTGTGTAGAAAATAGATCCCTGTTAAAAGGCAAAAATTCTGACAAATTCAACTATTTACACAGCGTGTTGAGTAGAATGACAAGCATTATTAGTGCTTTACGTTCCTTTTATATTTCTGACTATTTTGAATGTCTTTTATCATGAGGTCGGAATTCGATCCACTCATTGTATTCGGCATCATTTGCTTTCTTTCACAAAATTTATTTATCAAATGCTTAGTGGAATCATCTGATTTCACTATTTAATAAATATCATAGTTGATAAAGCCTAGATAAGGCATCAATTCCGGCGGAACGTCTAATTTGAGTTTAACTTGATAGTGTGAATCAGAATTTTGAATCAAGTTGTGGTCTTTTGTTGTCACTTCTGTTTCTTGATTGTCAATAATTCGATAGACATGTGAGACAAAGCTTGCCACCTGATCGTTATTAATAGAAATCGTGAACGGTTGATGTTGTTGTGTTCCGATGATCAACGTCAGATTATTCGCTGGATAGGCCCAACGCAATCTGACCGAACTGCATGACTTAAGAAAATCAAGATTAGTCAAATCGACAGTGGCTGATTGGCAACCATTTGTGACAAAGACAGTAGCCACACAGTCGCTATTTTGATATGCTTGCACATCGCATGATCCATCTTGCACGGGTGCTGCTCGAACAACCGTAATGGCTAACAAAACAATGAGTGACACAGTGAAAGACATGATGATTGAGATAAAGTGAAATATTGACGACTACACAGAATACCATTGACTTTTGTAGTAACAATGATGATAAAGCATGCAAACAGGTGTGAGAGAATCCGAGAAACAAAATCGAATCATTGAGTAGCACAACGATGCATTTTTTTGGTTTTATCATCATTACCAAGTATATAACAAAGACAAAGAATGGAAAAAAATGATTCTATCAATGCATGCGATTTTGTTCGTAAAGCGATATTTCATCCTCTTACCAGCAATACTTCTAACGAAGAAGTATTTCCACATATTTTAGGGCTTGTGAAATGAAACTTACTAGGATTTATGTGGACTGAATAAAATCTTCAATGACGTTGACTTTCTCGATTCCTTTTCCTGAGTCATTAAGAGTTTTACCTAGAAAATTCAATGAGCGAATTTCGATCTGAAAGTTAGCGTAATAATAGTACTCGTAACTCTTTGATTAAAGGCGTGGGTGTGGATATAGTTGAAGTGAGTACCCACACCCGAGTTCGAAAAATGCATGTGAGATGTGCAATATGAGACCCACATCGTAAAGCTGTGCCGCCTTTCGCTCACTATGCGTTAGCAGGTGTGGGTGTGGAGTGTGGGTGTAGATGTCTAGCCAATAGTATACCCACATCCGCACTCACACCTACACCCGAGTAGGGATATTGTTCTCATACTCCATACCCACGCTGAACATGATGGTTTCCGGTAGGAATCCCGTTCCATGAGGCGGATGATGTGCAAGAATCAAAGCTTGCAATAATGGCGCGAAGTCAGCATGTTTATTTTGATCAACATCCACCGTGATACTCACACACAGGCACACCCAAGAGCAATTTTTTGCTCGATGACCCCCATTCAAAATGGTACTTTTCGTAAGAGGATCTAATTCTGAGTCTAACACAATTAGTTAAAGACCCAACACTGATGGGAGAGGAAATCCAGACAAGAATTACTGACTAAATCGAATTAAAAGTTGAGTATTTCCTGTAAAACTCCTATTGTTTGCGCGATGAGCTGCGTTAAAAATGATACCATTCGATATAGAATAAAATTCCACATCTAGTACAGTCATCTAGAGACTCAGCACAGGTCACGAGGCAGATGTGAACAGGAAATACTATTTTGTATTATCAGTACACAGGCAATAAGTGAGTTCTTGAGTAAACCGCAGTTGTTGCACGGTGATCCTCATTGAAAATAGTACCATTCGATAGAATATGAAATTCAGCACCCAACGCAACCCTTTAGAGACCCAACACAGGTTAAGAAGCGAATCTGGTACTAACTTTACTTACGTCTTTCGATTTAGGTATTATTATCATTCGCACCTACGCCCTCACTTTATGCACTGACTTCGTACCGCCATTGTGTGGACATATAGGACTATACATGGCATTCCTTTCAATTGTCAGAAAGTCTTTTAAATCCTCAAAAGTTCCACAATAGTATTGAAGATGGTAGATTGCTTTTTGCCTACAAGTATGTAATGTACTAAATAAAAAAATAGCTTTGATTTGTTGAAAACGATGGCAGAATAAAATTCTTTTCTAAAGAAAAAATAACGTTACCGATAAAATGATTTACTAATAAAATAAAATAAAATTTCTTGGTAGCTTCTCTTCAATACATATCGGTAATATTAAAGTCATTTCATACAGAACTTTCATTAATGTTCTATGTTTTTTTCCTTGTTTAATCAAAAAACAATTCCATATTATTTTGTTTCTCTATTGTCCGGTAACGAAGTTGGGCGTTGTTGTGCTGCAATCAACTTCGTATAAAGACCATTGAATCTCAGAAGTTCATCATGTGTACCCTAAATAAGTAAGTGTGTTATTTTTCTTTGATGAAAACCATACATAATCATATTTACCTCTTCTTTTACTGTGCCTCGATCAACAACGACAATTTTTTCTGAATTTTGAATTGTTAAAAGACGATGAGTAATATTTAAACATGTTCGACTAAATCTCTCTTTATCTAATGCTGCTTGAACAGCCTTTTCACTTTCATTATCTAATGCTGATGTTACTTCATCAAGAAGTAAAATTTTTGGTGAACGAATTAATGCTCGAGCTATGGCAACTAAAGAATATTCGATATTCATTTAACTAGTACATTATGAAATTATTTACTTCGTTGTTTTTGTCCACCGGATAACTGACTACCTTTCATTCCACATAATGTTTCATAACCCTAAAATATTAAAAGATTAGATTAAATATAAAGAAAAAAGAAATAACTAACTTTAGGTAATGAACGTATAAATTCGTGAATATTTGCCATTCGTGTAGCTGTTTCAATTTCATCTTGTGTTACTTCTTGACTATTATCACCGTAAGCAATATTGTCACGAATAGAAATATTAAAAAGAACTGATTCTTGTTGAACAAAACCTATTATTGATCGAAGCCATCGAATATTAAGAAGTTTTATATTATGTCCATCGAGTAAAATATTTCCTTTTGATGGTTCATAGAATCTTTCTAATAATGCAATCGCTGTTGATTTTCCACTGCCTGATGGACCAACAAGTGCTGTTATGCCACCAGTTACACATTTCAATGAGAGATTCATAAGAACAGGAACTGTTGGCCGGGTGGGATATCGAAAATGAACATCTTGAAATTCAATATTACCTCTGACGTCTTTCTAAACATCAAATAAACATTTTCTGCTTTTATAAATAGAAACAAACATACCAAAATTATGCCTGATTCATCATAAGGATTGATTTGTGATTGTCGTTGGTTTAGTCGCATGATTCTTAATGCTGCTTTTTTTGCTTTCGAATAATCAGGAATCAAGGCCATGGAATAGCCAATTTGGACCATAGTAAAAGTAATAACGGCATATACTCTATTTACGAAGCATTCTATATATTATCTCACTAGTATAACAAGTGATCGAAATTAAAATGGTCACTTTTGTTCTTTGGTTTTACTCATTTAAAACTCGAATACGTTTTAGTTTAAATTTGTCTTTCTAGTTGTCTGAAAAATCATGAAAAGTGAAGATCTGTAAAAGGTAGTACTACGATTACATGAATCAGGTTTAAATAGCCGACGAAGTTCAAAACAACTTGCGAGTGAAATCTGTAAATCAACTACTAAACAATGGGCGAAAATATTCAAAAAGAGAAAAGATATTTATTAGCAAAGCAAATCAAATGTCATCTTTTTTGTAGCAAGAAGAAGATTAATCAAGATGTATGAACTAAACTTACTGATGCACAAAAACAAATATGATTTTCATATTAATGTTTTGGTCGAACTTACAATAGCCGACAAATTTTGCTTGATTTAAAACCGATAGATTATTCAATTTGACACTTATTATCTAACCGAAATAAATGGAACATAATTACGAATAAATTAAATTTGTTTGATCAAATTTAACCCGCTGTCAAAAGAAAATCGGACACATGCTATTAAATAGAATATGTGGTTTGAAAGAGCTGGAAATCAAATCTAATAACTATTAAAAAATGCCTTAAAAACGAAGAACTACAGTGGCCATTTTATTTCGTGTCATCTATCATATGAAAAACATTCTTCACCTGAATACATTTTCAAAGATTGTTTCACCGTTTTGGACAAGTTTACTACCGTACCAAAACGTAGTACCATCAGCAAAATACATTACTGAATTCGCAATTCCAGCAGCTATCGCAACTAAATGCAAACGACACTTTTTTTGTCTAAATTGAAAAACCATTGACATAATGAATAGATAAAATGAAATACCAATACCAATACTACATACTTGAATTCACGATTGAATGCATTCTCATAAAGATTGATAAAGTGTTGTTCTTGGTGAAGAGCAGCAACAGTTCGAATATTTTCTATAGCTTCTGTGGCATTCTGTATATGAGATCAAGAAAAGATGAAATCATCATATGCTTTATTTCATACCTGTCCACCTTGTTCACTAAATGAGGTTTTACTTTTTGACTGACCAGCATCAGCTTCTTGTTGTCCTGAAAATTTTCCTGCCAACGCTAACACAGGAACAAAGCAAAGTAAAATGAATGTTAATTTCCAACTCGATATAAATGCAATAGTAAGAGCCATTATCGTAGTGCTCATAGTTTGAACTATGATACCAATACGAACGCCAGTCATACCCTGTAAATATGTTTCATGACGTCACGTTAAAACGGAAATTCATACAGAAGATATTCAATCGAATTATCATCTTTCAATCAGAACTGTCTCTATCATATAAACTGTAATAATCTATCAACACTCGAACATTATTTCAGATCCTCTGCTTAATTATATGACAGAACTATTAGAAAAACTTTGCTACGTCATATGTATATAGAATATTTAAAAAAATATAAGGGAATAAAGGATGAAATAGCATCAACAACATCTATCATATATCGGTTCAATTAAACACTATTTAAATGAGGGTATAACAAACTTGTTTTCAAACTGCGATGTAAAGCTTTCTACGGATGTACACTCGAGAATGAATATTGTTGATCATGAAAGAATTACATTCATGTGTGTCCTTGTATTGCATCTTAAGATAAGCAACGATGTCAAACATATAATTTGACTGCATAGAAGTTCAAAATTGAATCATAAATACATATTTTATATTTGGTTTTAGATACTGTTTAACTGGAAAAATCTCAGAAAAAAAAATCAATTGACTAAAATACAGTAGTTTTACATGCAAAACCATTGTTTCCATAAAAAAGAAAAGAAAACTGTCGTCTTTCGACACAACATTTTCAAAATCAATTTTTAAAAAATACATAGAATCATACATATCTTAGTGGAATTGTATTCGACGAAAAAACTGACGTATGCTTCTTCTGAGGTTTATTTTTCTGAAATGAATTACTCTTACACCTCCAGATGATCATTCTTGAAGAAAAATTATTTAAATACATACGATTCAATATAACCTTTTAACGTTGATTTTGAAAAAAAAGATTTTTATCGAAAGCCGATAGCTTTTGTATCTAAAATTACAATATTTCAGTCAAATCATATGTATGAGTATATGTTTCATCTAAACGGTAATTGAATCGAAATAAGAAAACATGTATATCCCTAGCTAGTTTACAAACCTCTATGAAATTATATCCAACACGACAAACAAAATTAAATTTCATTGCAACTTTCCATTTTCATGACAGTCGAATTAATAATATCGTTAAAGTCTACCTTTATAGAAAGTTTCCAGTAGAAAATCATTGTTCATCATGTTCTCTTAAGAACATTATCATGCACTTGAAAAGTCACATGAGCGCCGCATATCCTTAACAATCCTATGTTTATTCATAAGTCATTATGGTCAATTTTATGAAAAAAAATAATCTTATCTCAAAAGTGGAAATTATTTGAAGAATCAAATACCTTCAAAGCAGCTGCATCAGATGATAAACGTGTGACAAGAGCACCGACTGAATTTTCTTTACGATCGAAATAATTCATATCTTGACGAATCATAGCAGCAAATGTTAATTTTCGCATTCGCATCGTTAATGCTTCGCCTGATTTCGAGAATCCAACGTTACTCAGCAATTGCGCTACTCCTGATATAAAACCAAGAATAAAAATCGTACCAACATAAACATTTACTAAATATCTTTGTTTATCACGATCTTGTTCAGCAATTAAACCATAGATTTTACTAAATAAGAGTGCAGATATTGGTTCAATAGCACCCAACATAAGTGCACATATTGTGCCAATTAGAATCCAAGGCCATTCAGAAGCATTAAATTTCAAAATTTTAAATAAAAATGGCATGCGAAAACGTATTTTCCTTTTTATAAAACTACTATCGACTATTTTTTCATTATTATCATCATCACTTGCATTTGAATCATCTGCCAAACTACAATATAGTTTCGAATATCTTCTAGATACTAAAATCAATTATATAATAAATTGTTTCACAAATAAGATAATCACATACATGTCGGTTGTCTAATAAGATTTGTTTCAATATTGTCATCTGTTTGATCATTATATTTATCAGTTTCTCTTTGATTTTGAACTTTGATCAATTCATAATAAAGACCTTTAGATCTCATCAAATCATGATGAGTTCCATGTTCAACAAGTTGACCATGTTTTAGTCCTATAATGAAATCAGCATTTTGTATCGTACTCAAACGATGGGCTATAATAATTGTTGTTCGTCCTGCTTTGACTTTATCCAATGCATCTTGAACAATACGTTCATTTTTGTTATCTATTATTATTTTTTAAAATATTAATTTTTATTTCCTTTAAAAAATAAACGAAACAAACCAAGTGCACTTGTTGCTTCATCTAGCAAAAGAATCTTTGGATTTGAAATTAATGCTCGAGCAATAGCCACTAGAAAAATGAAAGCAAGTTTTTATAAAATTTTTTCAATTCATTAAATATTCAAACCTCGTTGTTTTTGACCACCACTTAAATTATCACCTAATATTGTCTTATAATTCTATACATAGATCTATCATTAGAAAATACAACAATGAAAAAAAAAAGAAATAACAAGATACTTGTGGTAGTGTCATTATGAATTCATGTGCATTAGCCATTTTAGCAGCAGCTTGAATTTCTTCATCAGTTGCATCTAGTTTTCCAAAACGAATATTTTCTTCAATTGATTCAGTAAAAAGTGCAAGTTCTTGACTAACAACTCCAATATGTGAACGAAGCCATGCAACATTCAATGTTTTAATATCGTTTCCATCAATTAAAATTCGACCTTGATTTGGATCATAAAATCGCTGAATCAATTGGATTACTGTACTCTCTATCATAAAAATAAACAAAGAAAACATGTTTGATAAACAAATATACATAGACAAGAACATTAACTAACTTCCACATCCTGATGGACCAACTAAAGCAATCGTTTTACCCGATGAGATTTTTAGTGATAGATTCTTAAGAGCCTACAACAAAGTAGAAAAAAGATTTATTTAAAAAAACCTTAGTAATCTCTAGTACAGGTATATCTGGTCGTGCAGGAAACGTAAAAGTAACATTTTCAAATTCAATATCACCAATAATATGTTCAGGTCTATCACCTTCATTACTCATCGCATCAATTTTTGATTGCTAATATAAAAACAAAAATATATTCTATAAAATTATTATAATTGAATAATCTTTAATTTACTCGATCAATCATTTCGAACACATAACTAGCACTACCTAATGCTTCGGCAAAATTTTGAAAATTTGGAATGAATTTTAGTGTACTGAATATTGCAACCTATTAATTATAAATATTGATAGTTTTATTATTATTAATATGTTCTATCAAGTCGACAAGATAATATACCATGCAGGAAATGAGAACCTATAATTATAAAATTAAAAAAAAAAGGTATCAGACAAAAATTAGTAGAAATTTTGATGTTATCTATTTACTACGATGACGGTACCAGTTGAATAATTTTTACAATCAGTTTGAGTAAGTTGATGACCATACCTAATGTGTTCTTTAAGATAATCCTGTCTTATAACAATGTACAATTAATTCATTTACCAAAATGTGATTGCAAACGTTATAAAATTAAAAATTTTTGAAAAACATTGACATAAACCTATATATAGACCTTTTCTAATACCAATGTTTTTTGTTTCAATTAAATTCTTGGCAAATCTAAATCAAAATGAAAATGTGAACCATAATCGATAAGCATTATACCTTTCTTCTTCTTTTATTTGACCGTGAAATGATACCACTGTTCGAATATTTCCTAATACTTCTTGTGCAATTGATGATGCTGCTGCAAATGCTGAAACTTCTTTTATTGTATATTTTTCAATAACCTAAAATAGATATTTTTCTCATAATGAAATATTGTTACTTATAACATATTGATTAGTTTTCTTACTATAATTGTTAAATTAAAAATTAGAATTATAACTGGTGAAAGACATAGAAAGATAAGTGTTAACTTATATCCTATTATGAGAGTAAAGATGACTACACTTAATGTAGTCGATAGAAGAAAAAAAAATTGTGGTACATGATAACTAGAATAATAAAATGTTAAAAAAAAAAACAAAAAATAAATTTTATTTTCAATACTTGATTCCATCTTTGATGTTATCTATTAGAATAAATAAAATATAAAAACATTTAATAGTATTAAATATTTCAATTTATCTTCATACCTAAATCTACAATAAGATGATTATTTAATTCTCCTGCTTTTTGTATATCAAACCAACCAATTTCTTGCCGTAAAATATTTCGAAAAAGAGCAAAACTAAATATATATATATATAGCTTTTATGGAAAACATATTCTTTTATATAGCAAAAAAACTAACGAACCGAATGCGTCGAACTTGTCGTTCAGCAGCTAATATCCAAGTTGCCCAAGCAATCCAAAAACAAATGATATTACTAAATCCAATAATAATATAATACTTGATTAATCGATTTATACTGTCATGAGCTGATTCAGTTCGATTGTTCTTGTTTGACACAATGGTGCTAGAAAATAACAATATCAGAACAAAGAAAATAATAAATAAAGCGTATGTACCATTCATTGGATATATTAGTAACGTTATTAAAATGTATAAATTTTATGCTTGATTCCCCCAAATTAGCAAGATTGTCTGTTATTCCTTGAAAAAAATACATTGCTACTGGATAAAGTCCTATAATTATAAAATAAGATATTTGATCCTAATCAATGTTTCTTTAAGTATTTTTCTCGTTTACCACCAGATATTAATGCTAAAATGAAAATAAACAAAATGAAAAATGATGATGAATATTTAAATAAAAAAACTAACCAGCTATGATACCAGTAGTCATTAATAAAATATCCAAATTATCAGCATAGCTAAAAATTTGATAGATTTTCAAATGATTAGTTTTAGATTTAGTTGCAACTCTTGATTGACGAAAAAAACTAAAATTAAACAAAAATCATAAATAAAATTTAAAAAATTTCAACAAAAAAAAAAACTAACGGAAATTTCGAAAGACAAAACAATCGCCCACAACGAATCGTTCGTTGAAATATATTGAGCTCTTCTTCAATTTGTTTTTCTTGAATATCATTATGAAAATTATTATCATCAAAATGATCAACATCAAATTCATTCGAAATAGAAGCTACATGCAAGGCAGATCTATAATAAAAAAAGAATGAATGTATTTCACAAAATCAAAACAAAATTTTTTTTATTACTCATCAGAAATATCATCCGTATATTTATATAAAGATCTTTGTTGAAGTTCATAATTATCCAAACATGATGTTATTGAATTGATTTTGTCGGATTCACTTTTAATCACTGAATAAGACATTTAAAGTGTTGCTTTACTAAAAAAGCAAAATATTTAATTGCAAGAGAAAAATTATTGTGTTATATAAGAATGTTTATTCTTTCTCTATCTCAAAGAGTTGTGAAATCAAACAAAACCACATGAATTTCAAATCAAAACATATTATCATTTTAGTAGTATTTTTCTTTTTATTTTAGAAATCTCTGAATAACAACATTCATGCCATTGAAATATGAATATATATATATATGCCTAATGAAAAGCAGAATATTATTGTATGTATTTTGAAATAGAGTTAGTTACGATACTTTTTCTATGCTAGTTTGATAAGTTAAGAAATATTGCTTCATAATGTATGTATAGTTAAAAATGAGTCTGACATCATGTCTTCCGAAAGAACAAAAATAGTACGAAATAATACTTCAAAGCAAAATTTAAGAGAAAAAAAGCTACTTGTCATTGTAATGCAGTTTTTTTTCTTTCTGCAATCAGGCGAAGCGCATGGCTTTTGTGTATGTAACGTGTTGAAATACATTCTTTTTATTTACGATGCATTTTTTCAATTTACAAAGCGACTTTGAAACATCGTTCGAACATGTTGCTTTGTATATATTTATATAATTTTATTTGTCGTTCTTCTCAATACACTTTTTATCAATGAGCTGTTTTTTTTTCTTCAAAAAGCGGTTTACTTTTGTTGATACTTTGCAAAGGGATTTTTCAATGAATATTTTTATCAAGAAAAATGAAACTTCTATCCATGAATGTGGCAGAGCGCGCTATTTTTTTTTTCATTTTTCTTTTCTGAAAAAAAAAGTTTTTCACAAAATATTTCCATGAATAATTAGATTCATATTGCTAGTAAAATCTTTTTTTTTAATGAACCGAGTTTGCAGCAGCATATGCCCAAAAATCAGAAAAACAGGCAAGACGAATTTTAATAAATATCTAAAGTTTAAAAAGAAATTCGGCATTGGAAGACTTATTCTGATACGTTTTTTTTTAATGATCAAATCTACGTAAATATCAACTGTGTGACAACGTATTGCTTTTTCAAATATGCATCACACCCTTAATTAAATATAATTACATACTTAAAAACATCGGCACTACTGTTGCAATCCAACTGAATCCACTGTAGTACCCTAAAAGACCTCTGATGACAGCATAAGATACTTATTTCTACCGAACAAATTAAATAGGATTGAGCCGTTGGGTTGGGTATCGGATTCATTCATCGGAACATTTTTAAAATTAGAGTTAATTGGAAACAGCGAAATTTCGGACAGTCTTTCGTTCTTATTTGCTGCAAATGCGTGACGAATAATTTTATATAAATCTTGAAACTGATTATAATAGAAAAAAAAACGTGTCATAATCATGGATATATAGTGCTATAAGATTCGATAGTGAAAACTTAGGGTTTCAATTAAAAATAGTGCAACTACGAGACCTGTATGAAATAAAGTTCAATACTATTCAGACAGAGATTAAATAATATTCCATTTGAAAAGTATATTGTTCAGATACATTTATTTTAAAGGTAAAGTTTATGACAATAGCGCAACAGCATGTATATAAATATAAAAGACAAAGTTCAAAAGAATTCGTTTGAGATTTATTTGTTTAACAAAATTTCTACAATAAGTTGAAAAAGTTCTGTCAAATTATTTTGTTGCATCAATTGCATACGAGTCGCTTTTCTAAATTAAAAGAAAATTTAGCGATCCATATTTAAATCAGTATGCGTAAGAATAGTATCCAGCTTTTTTTCTACATTATAGGGTGTGGATATGTGTGAGACACGTATCGCTAATAACACGCACGCCTTCTACCTCTCTACTTGCAAATTCATTGTGGATCGTGTTTCATAGTAAAACAAACAAACAAAAATCAGTACTTTGTATCTTTTAGATTTTCTCGATGTTTTTGAGCTGTATTTTTACTGTAGTAATAGCTGCTTTATTGTTGAAGTCATTTTTCGCAACGGCCGCTTTCTATAATTTGATCACGATTAACAATATTACGCCATAAAGAAAAATGTTCTTGGGTTTCAAACTAAAATTTGTACAATAGCGGTTCAAAAAAAAAATAAATGAATATAATTTGAATAATAAGCCGACGAAGAAAATAGAGATGTTTATTGTACCATCATTCTGATAATTATGATTGTGGTATCGTAGAGATGAACTTTTAAAAATTTAAAGCCTCACACTGGTATATGTGACTGGATACATCTCTTGAACTTTTTACAAATTTGACGCCTTACTCTTCGCCTAATCCACATCTATCCTACTCTTGAAAAAAAGAGATAAATATAGCATATGCTTTGTGACTATGACCAACATTAGTTGATTAGATCGTGTTGTCTCTCTTTCTCGAAATATTCATGTATGTAATTAACTCATTATTACTAATTGCTAATATCACGGTTTTAGCATTAAAGCATTGCTACATGATTTTATGGTTAATTATCATCATAATTTAAATACTCCAGTTTGAGTTAGTAGAACACATAATTGATAGTTTGAATCATATTCTAATGGATAAATTATTTCATGAAACGAACTTTGGAATGGATAAGTGTTTTGAAACGTCAACAAGCATGTATTGACCTTGTGGTTGATACGAATAACACTGTAAGAAAGAAAAATCAAGACCTATGCATACACATTTCTCGTTTGCATAGCCTACGCAATCACTATAGCTTTGTTTTTTTTCTTGCAGTTGCGAATTAAAAAACGTGTTTTTTTTTCTAATTTTGCAGTATCAAACAGCTCAGGTGGATCTAATAGCACATATTTGTTCATTTTTTCAATATTCTGTGCGGTCACATATGTTCTATTTTCAATCTAAATAAACGTTTCAATAACTCAACCAATTAAGATTCTTCTTTTGTAACTGTTCATGTAATAGATTCTACTATCTAGTTCGTATATCATTAATTAGAGATTTGTGAGTTTCAAATGGGTCAACATTTATCTACTAGTAATTCACAAATATTTGACTTACTTAAATTAAAATATTCTACTATCAATTCAGCTGAAGTCATATCTTGTATTGATCCAGAAGATATTCATTTATTTTTATCTCCAAAAATTCATTCAGATAGAATCACTGATCAATGTCAACTATCAAGACAGTCAATAAAACAAATTCAAAATAATTGATGTTCAGATGGATAACATATTTAAATTCATGAGCAGTGATTATCAATACAATACAAGATATAAATAATAATTTTGAAAACCAAGAACAATTAAAAATATCCCTTTTAATTAAAATAAAAGATAATAATGATAATAAGCAACAATCTTCAATTACATCAACACTTTATGCTTTAATTAAATCAGCTGAAAAACTCGTTTCAAGTAAAATTCATCTTTCACATGCATCAAAAACAGATTCATCATCATCCAATGATCGAAATATTGAAAAACAGTTAGAAATAAATTTACGCAAATTTTTAAATTCAAAAGTATCATTCAAAGAAATTCTATCCGTCTTAAATCAGCTTCTATTCGATATACATTATGTTTATGATTTACGAAATATTTTTTCATAATTCAATGATTATTTTATAGCAAATCGTCCTGAATGGGAACAGAAACAAAATGATAAACAAAAATACAACATTAAAATAAACTACAAATTAAATTTTATATCATCATTTTTTTGAAAATTTTCAGATGCAAAATATATTAACTCATTTAACTTCAATGAAAGCATTTTCTAATATTCAACTTTCGAAACATGCAAATAAAACAACTTACTGGAAAATTTGTTTCACTCTTCATATTTACACATATCGATTTTCATAATACAATCAATACTAATAAACAAGTTAACTCTAGTCCAATTCATAATTGAATGTCATTCGATTTTCATCCAGATACCGATAAACAATTGTTTAATATTATCCAACAATTATCAGCAATATCAACGCAAGATTTAAAAGATATTAATTTTAGTGAGTTTAATATTTCTAACGATGATCTACAAAAATGGTATGATATTGTATTAAAATTAGCTTGTCAAGATAATGAAAAGCTAAAAAGAAATAATTTATAGTCTAGGATGTTTTATTCAAATTCTCAATAAAAAAGTATCGTTATTTACAGAAAAATTATCTTTTATTCATCAATATATTATCAAAAATAAATATTATGTATATTGATTAAAGAATTATTATAAGAAATCAATACTAATACATCATTATTTAATTGGATTGAAATTTTCTGTCATGATAAATTAGAAAATACAAAGACATTCAATGTATTATGTTCATTTTTGAATATTTATTTTAGTCCTTCGCATGACATGAAACCAAAGTAAAAGAATTAATTTAACAAATAATACAATGATTTCAACAATTTATTTTCATGTGATTATCACCAACATATTCCTGTACCAATGAATATATTTCTTATATTAAATAATTTCAATGGTAAACCAGAAACCGTGAATGATTCATTAAGGCCCACCCTCTCTCAGAAAATCTATTTTTTTGTAATGTGATGGAAATTGAATTTTGATCATAGGAAAATGCAGGATGGTGGGTATGTGTAGTGGGTGTGGGTGTGGGTATCGATACTGAAGAGTATGACATCAATCCCCACACACCGCACCCCCACCCACCCTCACCCACACCCCGTAGGTGCATTGTACTGTTGATGAATTTCTGTGAACGATGGATAAATACGTAATTCTATACAATTAGGCAAGATCATTCCCATTTCAGTTAACATGATAGTTCTGCAAAAGACAAGACTCAAATGAGAATGTCGCGTCAGGCAAAGTTGTACTACGGTTTCAAAATATTTATCTTATCTTCTATGATTGCTTAAGAGAAAGAACCGAATTGTACAACACATATGTCAGATCCGAGGAAAACAATTTGCATAGATCTCTATGTCGTGAGATAAAACAATGATTTTTACGTCTTGTCTCGTGGACAGACTTTATTATTTTTCTAGAACCCGTATTCATGAAACAAGAATACAACGATTTATTTTTTATCTTAAATAATTTCGAGTTGTATGAGTAACAGAAAAGCAAAAACAAACTGATACCATCTATTTCTTAATCATGTCTCATTGCGCTTGTTATCATTGATCGAATGGAATTTTCTCAATTCGACTTATCTCCATTGATAAGTAATATCATCGTTTCTTACTGAAAAGATTTGTTCTATTCGAGAATTCACATAGCACTTCGGACAATCAAGTAGATCAAAGATTGATATTCAACTCTCTTTCAACTAACAGTTATACTTTTTTCCGATCAAACAAATTTTTGATTAGCATTTACATTGTAAATTCCTTTTCGTTCATTTCTTAAATGAATCTACAGTGTAATATTCTAATTTATTCATATCATAACAGTGTTAGCGTCTGGGTGTGGGATGTGATGTTCTTTTGTAACTTCATCAACACTTATATATTGACGTTCGGCTTCACTCAAAACTCCATCCGCTGCAGCTACATCCATTAAAGCTATCATGTAATCTGATAGCAGTTCATCTTTAAGTATTATATTATCGATATCGTACGCCTCTTTGAGTACCCAAACGCCACCATTGACAGTGCGATCTGTAGAATCGTTTGACATTGAGTTCCTTATGTTGTCGAATATATCTATGTATTGTCGTATTACCAACAATTAATAATTATTAAGAATGCGCATACAAAAACATCTAGTCTTGCTTTTCTTTTTTTCCTTTCTCTATTGTTTATCTTTTGCTAATCAATCCATGTCGAAATTGTCTTTAAGACGTTCTACCCATTTCTGCGTTATTGTAAGAAGCAAATGTCTTTCTATGTCAAACTATGAAGTAGATATAGAACAAATAGTATATATATATTAATTTGGAGAAAAGCATTCTGAAAAATAAAGAACATATTATGGAGTGATAAATAAAAAATAGGATTACGATCCATAACAGGATTATTTCTTTTTGTCTCATCCGTCAGTATCAATCTAGTATAGAAGATAGATGTATTTTTTGTCCATGCATTACGATTTCAACAATTGTAGTGTGTACTCTGCTCTCCATTGAGAAATATTTTTCAATAACAATACATAATGACACGTATAATTAACCAATTACCAACAATGAGTTGCCGATCTAACTTTGACACAGTTTTGTATAAACCTACCTTAAGCTACTTTATTATCAACCCAACTTTTAATATAGCTACTCCGAATCATTAGCCACAGTTCTCATTTTATGATCTTGACTGATTTTGAGTTACTAAGTTTTTTTATCGCTGTACATATGATATTTTATGTAATCTAGTTATTGCTCCTTAGACAAATTTCTGGAACGCTCCATTAATATATGAATCATCCACAACCTAGAATCTTTAAATGGTTGACTTATTCTGAACAGTGTAATACACTATATAGTATAAAATTTCAGTAGGATAAAATCGACGAAATATCAGCAACATGTGAGTATTGTATTGCAACTGAATAGGTTTTTCATGTTCAGAAAAAAGTTATTATTGTCATTCAAGATTTGGAGAGCATAAAATAGCCGTTATCAGAAAATAGCTGAAGAAAGGCAGAAGAAATTGCATCTACAGTCCTGGACAAAAGTCCTGCAGCTAGGCGAAACCGATCGATATAAGGATTGTTTACCTTGAAACTTCTACCATAAGAAGAACTTAATGAGCCCTGATCGCAGACAAAAGCTTGAGTTCTAATTCCTTACCCAGACTGATATCTAAGACTAACATCAACGTTATTTTCCTATTGTATTATTTCGCGCTAGGAAGAAGATACAATGTTGTTTGACCCATTGTTGGAAAGCCCAGCTCTTCCTCTCTCTATAGTAAAATATTCATCTTAAATATGCATGCCTTTGTTAAGTTATGAATTATTCTCTGTCTACTCATGGAACTGACATATCACAATCTCACCAGTTTTTGGCTCAAATCTCCAGCTAGACTCAATCTTTTGATTTGAAAATCATATCACAAACTGCTTACCTGTAGTCCAGACTGTACTGAAATGTTCAGAACTATAGCTACTAGAGAAGTGAAGATTCATTTCATTCTATACGTCAAGACCGATAGCCCTGAAAAATCACTATGGTACAGCACAACACGCTGTCCTTTATAGCATTAGTAGACCATCATCAGAACTACCTATTGCACTATAAATATCATCCTGATTTCATCAAATCGAAGAAGACTAGCATAAACTTTCCACATCACTATTTCTCGCTTCAAATGAAACAGAATTTACCAGCTGAAATTTTCGAGAATTCTTGTTTTTCCTAGGTAATTTGCTTTAATTTGAAGCGAGAAATAGTGATGTGGAAAGTTTATGCTAGTCTTCTTCGATTTGATGAAATCAGGATGATATTTATAGTGCAATAGGTAGTTCTGATGATGGTCTACTAATGCTATAAAGGACAGCGTGTTGTGCTGTACCATAGTGATTTTTCAGGGCTATCGGTCTTGACGTATAGAATGAAATGAATCTTCACTTCTCTAGTAGCTATAGTTCTGAAAATTTCAATACAGTCTGGACTATAGGTAAGCAGTTTGTGATATGATTTTCAAATCAAAAGATTGAGTCTAGCTGGAGATTCGAGTCAAAAACTGGTGAGATTGTGATATGTTAGTTCCATGAGTAGACAGAGAATAATTCATAACTTAACAAAGGCATGCATATTTAAGATGAATATTTTACTATAGAGAGAGGAAGAGCTGGGCTTTCCAACAGTGGGTCAAACAACATTGTATCTTCTTCCTAGCGCGAAATAATACAATAGGAAAATAACGTTGATGTTAGTCTTAGATCTCAGTCTGGGTAAGGAATTAGAACTCAAGCTTTTGTCTGCGATCAGGGCTCATTAAGTTCTTCTTATGATAGAAGTTTCAAGGTAAACAATCCTTATATCGATCGGTTTCGCCTAGCTGCGGGACTTTTGCCCAGGACTGTATATATCACTGGTTTCGCAATAGAAACAACGCTCTCTTTTACTCTCGTCTTCTTCCTCCTCTTATAAACATATATAAAGATTCCACAAAGATCTGTTTTGTCCGTGATTTAATATGAAAAATGTTTAAAAAAAAATCACGTGAATGAATTTTTCTAAGGGCTAGATATACATTATTGAATACAAGGCTTCGTTTATTAGAACGATTGTGCTTGTTTATTAGAGTATGTGAATCGAGGTTTTTGTTTAACTTTTTTTTCTTTTAAGATTTCTAACGAACGTTATATCTTGTGAAACACGATCTGAAAGGAGTGTTGAAGTGTATAGGATAGAAATTTTAAACCCTCTCCGCTCCCACAGACCGTGCCAGAGAAAACTCATACCCATCACAGATCGCTACAGAGAAACTAGTTTTGAAGCATCCAATAAACAGTAAACTACAAATTCGTGGTGAAAAAAATGGTACAAAACGATGTCTATTTAATTAGTAACAACAGGTCCATTATGCTTCAGATTTTTAATCCCACGAGAAATTGTGCTAAGAGATTTTACGATTAAAGCCATCAAACATTTTTCATCTGGAGCATCCAAAATTTATCTTGAAACAAATGCTT